GTGAAAGCGCGAGGCGAGGAGTTCCTGCGCGACAAGTTCGGAGTGGCGGAGGCGGCGCGAGTAGAAGGAGGGAGCGGCGGCAGCGGAGATGCGCATGTAGAGCAGGCAGTTCTGGGCCACAGTCGCGCAGCTGGAACAGGAGTTCGGAATCAGACCTTGCACCGCTCTCGATGCGGTCCGCTAAAAAGGAGGGGGGCGAAGAGCGAAGGCAAAGGAGGGGGGGGGGGCGCCGCCTCCTGGACGAGAGCCCGCCCCCTGCACGCAGGGGAGGGGCGCGTTGATCGACAGGGGGGAGGCGACGCCTCCCGATGGAGGCTCCGCTTCCTGCTCGGCAGCATCGCCCCCAATAGGAGGCCCCGCCTTCTGCTCGGCACCGCGTTCTATAGGAGGCGCCGCCTCTTGGTGCATCTTGCTCCGAACGGCAGCTGGATGCGCGTTTTCAAGGAGCAAGCGGAGGAGGAGGAGCAAGTTTTTTTCCCCCATCCCCCCTGCCCGCAGGCGGTGGCGACGCTGCGCCACCAGCCGATGGGGCGCCCTGGCGGTGGCGGCGGTGGTGGGCCGCCTGGCAAGGATCCGTTCAAGGACACGCTCCGCGACGGATTGCCGGGCGGTGGCGAAGAGGCGGAGGAGGAGGAGGAGGAGGAGGAGGACGATGACTGCCTGCTGGTCTATGAGGGCGAGCCCGAGGAGGAGCTGATGCGGCTGCCCGAGGAGATGGGGAAACGCGTGGCGCGCGTGCGGGTCAAAGCCCGTGGCGGCATGCGCTGCATGCACTGCCAGCAGGACAAGTTCGTGCACGTGCGCCTCGGCCACTCGTGCCAGGAGCGCAACCAGGCCACCTGCAACCAGCACATGGCCATCGTGGCGTGGCCGAAGGCGCGGAACCGCATGTCCAAGGGAGCGCGGCAGCGCGAGTTCCTGGGGATACAAATTCAAAAGGTATAATGTCGCACGGAGGCAACGCCTCCGGCGACATAATGTAAACAAAGAGGCAACAACACACATACGCAACCCCCCATGCCCAGGTTCATGGCCAAGAAGCGCGCCCTGGAGGCGTCGCTGGCCGCGGACGCGC